ACATCAATATCTTTATTGATTTCGACTTTTTTACTAATTTCTATATTCTTATCGATTTCTGGTAATGAAGGAACATCAATATCTTTATTGATTTCGATTTTTTTACTAATTTCAAGATTCTTATCGATTTCTGGTAACAATGGAACATCAATATCTTTATTGATTTCGACTTTTTTACTAATTTCTATATTCTTATCGATTTCTGGTAATGAAGGGACATCAATATCTTTATTGATTTCGACTTTTTTACTAATTTCTATATTCTTATCGATTTCTGGTAATGAAGGAACACTAATATCTTTATTGGATTCGATTTTCGTGTGTACATCAGTCCCCAATAACTCACTAATGTCTTTTTTAATATTAATATTCTTATTTACTTTTGGTTTTAAAGGAACACTAAACTCTTTATTAATTTTCATGTCTTTATTTACTTTTGGTTCTAGAGGCACACTAAATTCTTTATTAATATTCATGTCTTTATTTACTTCTTGGTTTAATGGCACAGCAATATCTTTATTGATTTCGACTTTTTTACTAATTTCTATATTCTTATCGATTTCTGGTAATGAAGGAACACTAATATCTTTATTGGATTCGATTTTCGTGTGTACATCAGTCCCCAATAACTCACTAATGTCTTTTTTAATATTAATATTCTTATTTACTTTTGGTTTTAAAGGAACACTAAACTCTTTATTAATTTTCATGTCTTTATTTAGTTTTGGTTCTAGAGGCACACTAAATTCTTTATTAATATTCATGTCTTTATTTACTTCTTGGTTTAATGGCACAGCAATATCTTTATTGATTTCGACTTTTTTACTAATTTCTATATTCTTATCGATTTCTGGTAATGAAGGAACACTAATATCTTTATTGGATTCGATGTTCCTGTGTACATCAGTCCCCAATAACTCACTAATGTCTTTTTTAATATTAATATTCTTATTTACTTTTGGTTTTAAAGGAACACTAAACTCTTTATTAATTTTCATGTCTTTATTTAGTTTTGGTTCTAGAGGCACACTAAATTCTTTATTAATATTCATGTCTTTATTTACTTCTTGGTTTAATGGAACATCAATATCTTTATTGATTTCGACTTTTTTACTAATTTCTATATTCTTATCGATTTCTGGTAATGAAGGAACACTAATATCTTTATTGGATTCGATGTTCCTGTGTACATCAGTCCCCAATAACTCACTAATGTCTTTTTTAATATTAATATTCTTATTTACTTTTGGTTTTAAAGGAACACTAAACTCTTTATTAATATTCATGTCTTTATTTACTTCTTGTTCAAATGGCGAATCAATATCTTTATTAACATCAATTCTTTTACTTATTTCTGTTTCCTTATTTACTTCTGGTTCTAATGGAACATTAACATCTTCATTGGCTTCAATAGTTTTATTGTTTTCTATGTACTTATTTGTTTCTGGTAACAATGGTTTATCAATATCTTCATTAATTTCAATTTGTTTATTGATATTTATATTCTTACTAACTTTTGGAAACGTAGAATTTCCAACATCATCACTAAATTTAAATTTATTTTCTACAAATAGTTTGTCTTGATTTTCAAATGATTTATCTTTTGTATATTCAACTTCTTTCGTGGGTTCATCTTGATTTTTATTAGGTAAGTCGTCTGATCCTTGATCGTCTTTAACCCCTGGGAATTGAATTGCTGATGAGTCCTCGCCTGCAAAAAATATCTTTTTAGTATTCCAATTATTATTATTATTATGTTTGATTATTATATCTTTACAATATATAATATTTTAGAAATTTTTTTATTTTTTTTTTGCGTGTAGAAATTTGTAGGGAATTAAATATTATCTGAGTTAATAATATGGTTATATTTTTATTTGATTTACTAAAATCGTGATCGTATATATTATTAAGTTATATAAAGAGATTATTTTAACACTGGTCACTTAATTTATTTTAAAATAATAATTTTTTTTTTAGCTTTTGTTAGTTGCATATGTTTTTATATTTATTTGTTATTTTACACTATTTTTTATGTTTATCCCATATCAATTATAGAGGTGTCAACTTTATGGGATTATACATATTTAACTAGCTTAAAAAGTAGAAAATTACCTATTGAAAAAAGTGCCTGTTTGATAAATCTTTTAAACTAGTTCTTTGGAAGCTATTCATAATTTTGCTCCTAGGAGGTGGAGAAGAGCAGCCGAGGAATTCCTCGGCTAATGATTAAAATAGCGACATCCTTGCTATCGACCACTCATTTTCTTAATAAGACATTTTTTATTTTATAAGGTAGTTAAATTTAAAAGAGTTAAAGAAAAGTAATTATTTTAAGAGAAATTAAATGACTAGTGTTAAAAGAGTCATTTTGTATAATCCTTATCATAATTTAAAAATCTTATTATTCTGTAAGTTAATGATGAAGGTAACTGCTGTTTGGTCGAAATATAATCAAAATTCAATTTTTTGAAAATTACATGATATAAATTAAGTTAAAAATAATCAGTAATGATTGTCATAAATTATCTTTGACCTTTTAAATTGTGTTACGGATAACGATAATTTTAAAAAGATTATAAAAATGACTATATACACCTTTATTTTACTTTTATTATTTACTTATTGAATTGTAAATAACTAAGTGTTTTTTAGGTTCATCCTTTATTGCTTATAAAATTACCATTTTTTAAATGATATGATATACATTTATCTAGTTTATGTTATAGACGACTATACAACTAATCATATAAAGCTAGTAACTTTTAATACAATTACTGGGAGTGAGGCATGTATTATGTTATTTTTATCATTGAAAATTTCTTCGTCGCGCTACTATTCCAACTCAGGTATAATATTATTTAAAACTCTTGAACTAACCAATGGTTCAAAAGTTATTATCGACTAGTTATTTTCTCATATATAATCATTTAATAAAATAAAATAAAGTTAATACTCCTACAAGAGATAAGGGATGGATATAAAAAACAATTAACTACATTAAATCGAGAAATAAATACTATACGATATAACAAAAAACATGCAACATTATAATTCTTTAAAAAGAAATCTAGTAGTCAATGTAAAAACAGTCATGCTATATTGATAAAAAAAATGGAAGTTTATAAAAATTATATACGTAGGAAATATTTGTAGTAATGTGTTTTGTGACACAATTACTCCTTAAATGTCTTTTTTTTTTACGGAACAAAACGATTTTTTCATGAAAGGACCTGTAGAATATATAAATAAATGAGAAAAGACATTCCAAATATCTAATACCTATTTGAAAGCCATAAAGACTAGATGAAATAAATTATTCTTCTATAAACTAGTCCAGCCTATTTTTAAAATGCGTTCAACAGTCTTACATAAAGCTGAAGAGTGCTTTAAGACGATAATGTTAAAAAATGTAATTGTTAAATTTATTATAAAACGTTGATAATAAAAATGTATATTATATCTTATAGTCTAGATATTTATACTTTAAGTACAATTATCAATATAATATGTACAATGTGATTTATTACGAATACATTACTCAATTTTATCATTAAATCAAATTTTTTTCAATGTTACGCCTAAAACTACTCTTATAAATAGGGGATGATTTGAAATATTTCAAGCAACTTTTTTCATGATTGAAGATTTAACGAATAGTAAAATATTATATTGAAAATTTGAAAAAATGTTTTTTCCTACATTTCCACACGGCCATATAAGTAGATCTGGAAATTCAATTGCTAAAATGTGCAGTTATTGTATTGTATTTTTTGGAGGGTAATGAATTTCGTAGAATTACAGTAGAATTAAATAATTTAATATAAATTTAAAGTAAAATAACAGTATGAACATACATTTAGGTTACTAGTTTGTACTTCTAGAAATAGGAAAATATAAACACTAGACAGTTGTTCAATCATCATCAATAACTTTTGATCCAGCAAATATTTTGTGTTACCTGTACATATTTATGTATAAATTGTTATTTAACTAAAAAATGGGGTGTATTATTTTTAATAATTCACATTGTATAAAACTAGTTTTATAATAAGGTCTATGATAAATACAATTAAATCAACCAAATTTAAAATAATTTTAAATTAAATAACAATTATTGTTAAATAACTTTAGATATATTCAATTTTTTTTATAAAGACAAACTTAATAATGTCTAATTTTAACTTTTATTAAACTTTTAAAAGTGATTGTAACATATTTTTATTTTCTTTTAACATTTTCTAATATATTCTGTATAAATAACAATTTTGGTTAACTAACTAGACGCATAGAAAATTGCTAAAAATCCGTTATCATAGCTCCGACTTGTGTATTATAATTTTGAATAAATGTATAATAAAATTGCATAATGTGTTTGTTATTTTTTTTAATATCAATTCCGTCTGGAATAGACTATCTAGATATAGAAAATATACTATTTTAGAATTGATAGTTTTTACTAAATTATCGTAAATAAATCACTGTAATACTTAAAGCCAAATTTAATAGTTAGTTTATATAAAAATGAATGAAATTTAATAAAATTCTAAGCGCAATCATCAGGATCTATATGATAAATTTATAAATTCCATTTTTCAAAGTTCTATAATAATCAAATTTTAATAATTTTAATATGTAAATTAATAATTGTACACTATCTTTTAACCTACTGACATTTTTTTAATACTTTTTTTGTTGTTGTTTATTTTTTGAGAAATCGTTTATGTGTTCGAATAATTTTAATTATTAAGATTTAAAATCTTATAAAAAAGTATATGATACTAATGTACTTGATGTTAAATTTACACCATAATAATTAAAATACTTGTTAAAATTGTTTAATTATCCTAGAAGGTCTATACTGTTATCATGATTTACTTACTTTGAATAGGAAAAGTAAATGTTATACGACATATTGATAGTAAGAAAAGAAATACTTTTGTAAGTCGCATGCTTAATGTTGAATGAGTTGATGGTCACGGCACTAATTTTGAACTGACACTGATTATTAGGGTCGCGACAGCAAGAGTAAATTTTTTTTTGAACTTGCTAAAGATACTATAGTAAGTCTTATCTAACCTTACAAAACATGTATGCTCATGTGTATTACGCACAAATGACAACATTGAAAATTCTGAGGAATGACTAGAACGGTTGAAAATTGTTAGACGTGTTTTTTCTAAAAACTATAATCTCAGATTAATTAACCAAATTACTCGGACAAACTAACACCTATCGGTCACGTTCTACATTGTTCGTAATTATGGGATAGCGTAAATCATTTAATATACGAAATTATGCTATTCAATATTTTTGATTTTTACTTTACATCGCACTGTTGATCTATCAATGGTACTGAATGTATAAATTACTCTTACTATTTTTTTGGCACACGTGGTACGCTAAATAACTTATATTAAATGTTAAACTACTAAATTGATTCAATTAAATGACTTCAACTCAAATTTATGTATCCATCCTTATGACAACTATTAAAAATTTTAATTTTTAATCAGTTTAAAATCTACAGTTTTTTTTATTGTTATTGTAATATGATATATGTGATTGAATTTTTGTATAGCTACACCTATTACGTCTTTTATTGCATTCGTAATCAATATTATATTTGTCTATTGAACATAAGTTATTTGCGTGATATCAAATTAATTAGATTTATGTCAAATTCAATTAGTTGGTCGAACTTTTATATATCCATTTTTGAACTATAATTCAACGATTGTTTAATTTATTTGTGAACGCCAACACTAATCCACTCAGACTGTTTTTATTTAAGAATCCAGATAAGTTTCTATAAAATACTGTTATGTAATTTCGTAATTTAAACAAGTGTAAATATTTGTAGATTAATAGAAGTTACTAGTAATTCGTGATTCTTCCTAGTTGTATTTATGTTTTACAATAAACTTTTTTCAGTTTTTCTCTCTTTTAATATTTTCTATCATAAATATTTGGATCTGACACAAAGATTTGAGAGAAAAACATAGTAAAGTTTAAACTTTTTGATGATATGTTTTTGCTATAATAAAACTTTGCTATGATTAAATAAATATTCCTAGAACTAATTTTCAGAGTTTCATTGAAATATTCAATAAATTAGTAGTAAGCACATTTTATAAATATTTATTTTTTGTTATAAAACTTTGGTTTGACTTGTAATAACTTTTGTATCATCTTAAGAAGTTTAACAAATTAAGAAATATTAATCAATAACGTTGAAAGTATTATTTTATTAATCAAAGTTTAATTATTTATATTATGTTCGAAGAAAATGGCATAAACAAATATTATCACAATATGCTGTGCTTGTTCTTTATACTAATGAAATTATGTTATGCTACTTTTTAACATTAATTAAAACATTAATTTTAATTTCAAATCCTAGTAACAACTGAAAATACTACATACTAATAAGTTTTTTTATTCTTCTTTGTAGACAAGTATTAAAATAACAAATTTATATAAATCAGATAAATCTAGAGTTAATTTTTTAAAAATTAAACGATGTAAAATTTTTTTTTAAGTTAATCTATTAAAAACTAAATTTGCAATTAATATAATATAACATTTTTATTTAATTAAAAACATAATAATTATTAATTAAAGCAATTAATAATAATTACAAATTATTTTGATTTGGTTTTATGTATTAAAATTCTTTAAGGCATTTCGCATGATAACTGTACCCGTTTATCAATTATAATTTTATTTACTGAAATTCATGAAGGATTATACTTACAACTAACCACATAACTGTGTGTATTTTAAATAATTATCAATGAATTGTCATTGAGAATATCAGTAGAATGTAATAATATTATTAAATATACAACTGTACACGGCTAAAAATAAGAAGACATAAAATTTATTTGTACATCCAAATGATTGATATGAATTTTTAATATTTATTAATAGGTATTATTAAAGTAAATCAATTTTTCGGTAAATAAAAAGTTAATGTATTTATTATAACACCCCAATTTTCGAATCGCATAAAATTATACAGCTTTATTTAGCTACATTATTAATTTTCTAAAGATTCTTACTTTTTTTATAGTACCATTAATATTTAATGATACTAAAGTCAGCCAATTATTTGCTGATATTTATTTTAATGTGCACAAATAATATGTTTTATTGAAATAATAAAATACACTAATAGTAAATAGTGAGTATTGAGATCATTGATGGTTAGATAAATAAATCTTGAAAATTTTATCTACATTATATTTAACCTGTAATTTATTTTAATAAACAATTTTTTATTTATAAATAAGTGATCCCTTTTTTTACTTAATTTAGCATTATAGAGAGAACTGTTGAAAAGTTTATAACTGAATTATTTTTTAATTATTTTGCATACTGCAAGGTAACGATGAAAATCAAAAGATTAGTATATTGAATATTATCAATTTTGTCTTTAAAATAGTACTAATCTGTAAAAAATCGTTTTTACGACCACATTCTGTTTACATTTTTTTTGTTTTTTTTTTCACCAAAATTAAACAATTTACATGTTGAAATAAATAGAATATTATAACTAATTACTACAAAAAAATGTAACTAAACTAATCTTATGTGTTCAAAAAATATGTTGATGTTACTATAAAATATCAAAACGATTTATATATTCTATTCATTTGTAATAATCTCTGTATTTTATGCTTATGTATAAATAAACAGTTATGCTGTAATAATTAGACAATGATAATTTTTGGAGGTAAAAAGTATTATAAAAAGGTAGAGCAAACCTTTATTCTGGCCTGTTCATTTCGTGCTTTAGATACCGTTACGTGAATATTGCGATCATCACTGGCGAAGTTCTTTCGTGCTTAATTTGTGAACTAAAACTTGAATTTTTGTTACTTTATTTACCATTTTATTAATATTACCACTGAAGTTATTTTAACAACTGAATAAATATTATCAGGTAAGATTTTTAAATCCATAAGAATGTTTATATTGTTATTTTATAACCCTCGAATCACACCCCGATCAAAAGTAACTCTCACACTAACTCTTACTCTTACTCTAACCCTCAGCCTAATTCTTTTTTTATTTTTATTAATTTTTGAGTTACGATACCGCCTAATACTACACAAAAGTGATATTATAATATTATCAACCTACGCAAAGATTTCACTCAGTTGATATTGTTAGATTTGTTTTTTTGATTAGGATTTATTTGCGTTCCCAGTGGCCATGACCGTTCGATGCTGACGCGTGACAATGAAAATCAAAACGAATAGAGTACTTAATGTACTTCTGTCATTACAACACACCCGTGTACATTGTGTAATTATAAATACTGTCTGCATAATATTAATATTATTCTTGTGGCCACGCGCAATAAAAAATGTGCCGCCGTTGGCCACACATGTTACCACTAACCGAATACGAGAGAGAGATCTATTTTACTACAACACTATGTTACACTTCACACAAACGCACGCTCCTGGACCACAACTATAATAAATGTTATAAAAATCATAAAGACCTTTTATTTTTTTGGGACCACCCTCATTTAACCGTAAATCAAGTGCATCATTATGTGTACACACATTTGTATAAAATGTATACATCATATTTTTGTGTGCATGTAATCATTATGGACTGATGGGTGATTGATGTTGAATGCTATAAACAGCATTGAATCATATTTATTGTATAAATAAATAATGTTCTGCCATAATTTCATTATGTTAAAAAAACATGTTACCTTCCTTCCGTAGTCTAGTTTTTTTTTTGTATAAGATTTGTAATCGTATCTACTTGGAAAATATGCAATGATGCGTTAAATTTATAATTCATCAGTTCCGTATATCCAGATATTATAAAATAATACATATTTTTTTATTTTTATTAGTGATAAATAAATGCTTTTTATGTAGTCTACGAAAGTAATAATTATTAAAAAAAAGAAATTCAACAAAATTATAATTGAGTTAAAAGTTATAAGAGATGTAATAATCTCGTAGGACACTTTGATAATGAAACAAGTGCATCAACCTTTACGCGTTTTTATCGGTTAATATTTTAATTACAAATTGTTATATTTCGTTTTGATATAAGTAAACAGTTTAAATAAAGTAACAATAATTACAATTAATCATGTACGTGCAATACGCAAAAATTAAGTACTTCAAATACGTTATAATGACCAAATTTTGTTTTTACGTAATTTATGTCTGCACAAACTTAAAAAAAATCAACACTTTATAAATACCTGTTATTGACGTAAACATCTAAATTGCCTCTCAAAATATCTACTGAAAACTATGTTATTTAAAAAATATTTTTAAATGATCTTTAAGGTATTAAATAAGTTGGATTAATAATTTATATTTTATTTAAACAAATTTATAAACGTCACTTTTTAAATTATAAAAATTTTATAATAACGTGCATTATGTAGAGAACATTTCAAAAATTACATTTTAAAATTGTTTACCAAAGTAAAAATAGGTGACTTCAAAATTAATTGAATGACTAAAATTTTACGCCACTCGAAAACCGTCAAAATATTTAATTAATGTAGCCAATCTAACACGCTGTATCAATATAAACGACCAAGTATTTTTAGATAATTTTTTCTTTTATTTCTTCACCGCACATATAATTAAATGAATTAATGTTTTAATGAATTTAGGGATGAATCACTATAATTTTTTTAACAGTAAACACGAAAAAATTGAATACATAAAGCTATTAAGTATTTACTCAAGTCGAATTTGTTTTAAATTTTTTATAAATTACTAAGTAACTAGTCATTATGCTCACTTAATGCTATTTTCTCTTTGAAAATGGAATAAAATAAAAAATTAACCAGTAAATATAAAATATCAGCTCAACTATTAAACAATTATGTTATTAAACAAATACATTAATATTAGCGTTGTAACTAAAATATGAATAACTATATATATATATATATATATATATATTTATTAATAGTTTTAAAGAAAACTAAAAAAATGTTATTTACGATTTTTACCATGACAATTTATCATATTTTTTGTGATACGATTTTTATTTTAAATGATACGACAAAATAAGTCTTACATTTGTGCAACTCAAAATGTTCAAAAGTAATTCATGTTCATGTATATT